CAGTGGGCTAGGTCAAAGAACCCAGAGGGGAAAGTCAGCCTCCTAATGATGTCACAGAAAATGGAAGCGTGGGACCTGTGGCATGGGAGCGCAGTGCTGGATTCATTGAGCTGGGGAGTATGTTGTTAGTTGATAAACCAGCAGTACAGACTAGAGCAGCCATTTTCAAGGACGGTTCTGTGGAACTCTAGGGTTCCTCCAAGAATAGCTAGAGACTCCTTGAGCTGTGGCCAACTGACCACCCACCTGATGGTGCTTGCATAGTTCCAGGTCCAGCACCACTTGACAGGACCAGCAGAATAACCGCAAAGGCATCATTCTGGCCACGCCTGTGAGGGGTCATTCTTCCCTCTTACCACCCCCAATGTAGGGGGCATCTTCTCAATGACTCTTGATAGGCTCATCTTATCAGGGAACATTTTTTCAAGAGTTCCTCTTGGGTGAAAAAAGTTGAGAAAAGAGTATGAAAAAAATTGTGGGATTAATGTTCATCTTTAAGGTTCCTCCAGTAAAGTGAACCTGTTATTTTGCCCAGTGAAGGGGTTCATCTGTGTGGCACATCATTCTCTTGTCACACGACTCTGTATTCTTTAGTCTCCCATTCAGAATACTAAAGTGGGCTCAGACCTGGGAACTCTTCACCAATATTTTGGCAACCTTGTGAGACCTTTCTGAAGATATTAATGAAATAAGATGAATGCCAAGATTAAAACGAGGAGATCACCCACCTGATGGTGCTTGCATAGTTCCAGGTCCAGCACCACTTGACAGGACCAGCAGAATAACTGCAAAGGTATCATTCTGGCCACCCCTGTGAGGGGTCATTCTTCCCTATTACCACCCCCAATGTAGGGGCATCTTCTCAGTGACTCTTGATAGGCTCATCTTATCAGGGAACATTTTTTCAAGAGTTCTTCTTGGGTGAAAAAAGTTGAGAAAAGAGTATGAAAAAAATTGTGGGATTAATGTTTATCTTTAAGGTTCCTCCAGTAAAGTGAACCTGTTATTTTGCCCAGTGAAGGGGTTCATCTGTGTGGCACATCATCCTCTTGTCACATGACTCTGTATTCGTTAGTCTCCCATCCTGAATACTAAAGTGGGCTCAGACCTGGGAACTCTTCAGCAATATTTTTGGCAACCTTGTGAGACCTTTCTGAAGATATTAATGAAATAAGATGAATGCCAAGATTAAAACGAGCAGATCAACTCTTACCCCCTAGAGGAATAGTAAAATGAAAACCATTTGTGTTTGATGGAGTGTTCCTTTAAGTAAGCCCATCAGCCTCCACACATTAAATGGTCGGAGGTGATCAGGAAGAGCGTAGTCTAATTGCAGGCAGCTGTGAGGAGGTCACAGGAATGCGTCCGTCATGGTAAATGGTGTAAGGTTCCCTCAGCGTGATGACAGAAAAGCTGGTGACAAATGGGAATGGAACTCGCTGTCTGAGGAACAGCATCTGTGTTCTGACTCCTCCGCCAGACGACTGGCCCAATGACATTTTGTGAACCCCGAAACCTGACCACAATCGTCTTCCACAGCTGAGGCCTACCACAACTGTTACTTTGTATATCATAATTTATATAAATTGCCTCAAAATATAATAATTTGATGTTTTTGTCTAGGGTTGGCCCTACACCAGTAAAATTTCCCTCATGCAGAAATTGGGGAAAATCGAGTTTTTGATATAACCTTTATGGACTCGACAAATTTCACATGGAAACCCCAACATTTTTGTTTAATTGTCATGCCGAAATTTCAAATTCAACAACAATAAGTACAATTTTTTTCGAAAGTTCCCAGTTAGAAATTCACTAATTAAATTTTCTATCCTTCTTCCTCAAACTGATCATCAATTTGTCCCAGTAGCTATCGGAAAATTGAATGAATGTTCCAAAAACAAATTTTATTTAACACAATTTTAAAGGTATATGGTCAGCTTTACTCAGCACTTCTCAGAGAACATAGAACCATTCCCATCAGTCTTTGTTCACCCAAGGAGCTTACAATCTAATGTCCCTACCATTAACATAAACGAGTAGCCACTTTGAAAGGAAGACAATACATCCAACAGTACACAAGAAACTCCATGGACCCTTCAAATTAACAGAACATTGATCCTTGAACTGCTGTGTGAAAGTAGAGGAACCATTTTCAGACAGTATTAAAGTGTATTTTAAGACATTTTATTTAGATTTTTTTATATTGCATGGGGTTAGAACCTCTTTCAGGTTGTTTTTGCCAATTGGGGATATTCACCTTCTCTATTGGACTTGGATCTTCTGTCCGTCAGTCAGGGAGCATTGGTTGGGCATAATGAATGAACCTCAACATCTCTACCACAAATTGGCACCCCACCGAAAAAAGCATTGGCGTCCACATGGACATCCAAAAGAAATCACCAAAAAAGATCACCAGATGGGCATCTTACAAGTTCGTAATCAATTATTGCAGATAATAAAAATAACAGGAAGATTTAAGACAGATTCAACATTTTGGGGGCCAATCCTATAACTAGTAGTCAACAAAAAGAGCTCCACCTTGTCATCTTAGGAGTCCATAATCATGCCCATAAAATTGGCATAACAGGAAGATATCAGGCAGCTAAAGTTCTTTGGAGGCCAAACTTGTTTCCTTCATCAGGACTGAAAACATGACACAACAGAAATGATGATAAATGTGAAAAAATATTTTAAAAAAAAATATATATATATTTAAATTATCGTGGCAATAATTAATTCAGATATTTTTCATTCTTTTAAATATTTTCTAAATATTTTTTCATATCTATCAAGATTTCTGATGTGCCTTGTTTTCAGCCCTGATGAAGGAAACACGTTTGGCCTCCAAAGAACTTTAGCTGTCTTTTATCTTCCTGTTATGTCAATTTTATGGGCATGATTATGGACTCCTAAGATGACCGGGTGAGCTGCTGTTTTTGTTGACTGCTAGTTATAGTATGACCTGTATTCAGCTGGTCTTCTCATGTCTACAATTCAACAATTAAAACATATTCTAACATGTTCTACTGTAAAATAAGATCTGTGATTGTCTCCAGAAAGAACTTGATGAGGTTGGAATTTTTTTAAATGTAACCAGCTCAATTTTTTGTAATATGTGTTATAGTCAGCCCTTTGGTGATCTCTTCCATCAAATGGATCTAATCAAGACGCAATGTCCATTCCATTTCACTACTTTTGGTGGTCTAGGAGTTATCCAGTATTTGTGGATCAGTCAAGTGGTTCACCCTTTCTGTTTGTCTTCGTGACCATTGTCTCTGGAACTGAAAGTGAAGGGAAATCCAAATGATTGAGTTCACTATGGATCAGCTTGGGTTGAGTCCAAACCCATGTTCTGTTGAACCTGGAAGGAAGGTGTCAGTGAAGGCCCAATCAGCCATGGCCAGAGCATGCCGTGCCTCACAACTTCACATACACAAAGGGCCAGCAATGCTTGTGACATCATTGACCTAATATGACCATGTGGCCATGATCATGATTATGTGGGCATTGTTGACCTAATGTGACTATGGTTATGTGGTGAGGAGATGACCTAATATGACCATGTGGACATTGTGATGGGAGTCACTTTTGGTGGGGGGCCCATGGAACACAGCTCACTTTGGAGAGGTGGGGAGACCCCTGTCTCAGCTCCCCATATCCCTCTTATGTGTAAGTCACCCTGTGCCTGTTAGGGGTACAGGGTGATCTGTCCTAATATTGTGTAGATATGTATAGGTGGGGTGGGGGTTGTGGATTGTTTGGTGTTATGTGGTTGCATCCCATTGTTCTATTGTATGTCTTGCTTGGGAGCAAACTATTATGGGATGTATGTGTTTATGTGTATTGGCTTGGTGGAGGGGTGTGTCTCCAGCAGCCCTCCCTCCTGATGGGACTGTCTGCTGGTGTGTCTCTTGTTACTAAATGTAGATCGCCCCGCCCTGTGTCATTATGCAGGGAGGGGGGGGGGGGGTCCGTTGAATATATATATCTTGTATCTGTGTTAAAATAAACTAGTCTACTTCCTGGTTTACTTTAAGACTGGTGTTGTCTAGTCTTGTATGGTCTGCTGTGGTGGCTGTTGTAGGTGTTCGGACGGGGAAGTGGGAGTCTAACAGAAGTACCCAAGCACATTCTGGGGTCGGTTCCGTTACAGCCATGATCATGATTATGTGGGCATCGTTGACCTAATATGACCATGTGACTGTAGTTATGTGGTGAAGAGATGCCCATGACATCATTGACCTAATATGACCATGTGGACAAGGTCATGTAGGGAGAAGATACTTGTGAGATCATTGACCTAATATGACGATGTGGACAAGGTCATGTAGGGAGAAGATACTTGTGACATCATTGACCTAATATGACCATGTGGACATGGTCATGTAGGGAGAAGATACTTGTGACATCATTGACCTAATATGACGATGTGGACACGGTCATGTAGGGAGAAGATACTTGTGACATCATTGACCTAATATGACGATGTGGACAAGGTCATGTAGGGAGAAGATACTTGTGACATCATTGACCTAATATGACGATGTGGACAAGGTCATGTAGGGAGAAGATACTTGTGACATCATTGACCTAATATGGCCACATGGTCATATTAGGTCAATGACATTAACCAAATATGACCATGTAGCCATATCAGATCAATGATGTCCCTTGCATCCCTTCCCCTTTGTGTATGTGCAGATAAAGGACAAAGAGTGCCCTGTTCTGGGACTAACTAGGCAGGCACTGACATCTTACTTCCAGGTTCAGACCAAACCCAAGCTCCTTCCCTAGTTTTCCCCAGAACAGAATCAGAGATGAAATTTGGTTCCAGTGACAACTATCTAAGAAGGGATTTTCTTTACTTTGGAGGGATCTCCTCACACTTCCTGTTGTCTTGCAACAGGAAAGGAAGCATTATAGTGTTTGATCAGCATTGTCATAATCAACTCCATTTTAACTCATGTTCTTTCTCCTTTGCATTTGTAGGAGTCAACGTGATGCTCAGGAAGATCGCGGTGGCCGCCGCCTCGAAACCTGCAGTGGAAATAAAGCAGGAGGATGAGACGTTCTACATTAAGACATCCACCACTGTCCGAACCACTGAAATTAACTTCAAAATAGGGGAGGAGTTTGAAGAACAGACTGTAGATGGTCGTCCATGCAAGGTAAAGTTCTGCACCAGACCTTTGTCTCAACAGACAAGGAAAAAAGTACCTGGGTGACCATAGTAGTCAGTAGGATTGTGAATACAGAGTGGACTGTTCTTGTGTGACTATGGCCAGGTCAAGTTCATAACGTACTGAAGTTGGCCCACTCTACTTCTCTTAGTCCTAAATGACCCACATTTTTCAATGGGACTGGACAGAAGAATGGGACTTTGCCAGGACTATCATAAAACCAGCTTGGGTAAATAGACTCCATGCACACTGGGTGTTTACCCCTAGTGCATGGGGTTTCAGTGTTTAGGTGCAGGTGGAGGGCACAGGTGCCCCATGAGACGTAATGAAAATTGAAGCATCACACCACTGCTAAGAGGTCCAGACAGGGGCGGACTGACAACTCATGGGGCCCACGGCAATAAGGGATCATGGGGCCCCTGTGTCCTCGCCCACACTCAAACCACACCCAAAAAAGCATATGAAAGGTACCAGGGACATCTCATGGGGCCCCCTACAGACCTCGGGCCCTCGGGCAGTGCCCGAGTTCCCCAATGGTCAGTCCGCCCCTGGGTCCAGATACAACTTTTTTACATTTAAAGTTAGGGGTACAATCCAAAAACATCCAACGTGTTTCAGGGGTCCAAGCATCCCCTTCATCAGGTCAATGTGAACAAACCAGAAGTGACCTGGATCTACAATGGTATATATTTTCCAGTATGAACTACAAGCACAGGCCTCATCAACAGCTTGTTTGGCAGCCTCTATGAGCTGCCACAGCTGGATAGTGCATCTAGCGGTACTTAGGTTTAGGGCAGTTAGCAACCAGGGATAAATTCTCAGAACACAGGCTGCTTGCATCAGGGCTGAGGGCTCTTAGGAGGGTGCTGTGAAGTTTTCAAGAAGCTCTATACAGCACCCTACTGGCACCTTCCACCAGCCATGTTCTGCCTGCATTGCGAAGAAAAGCACATAGAAATAAAAGTTGATGGGAAGGGAGGAAAGGAACCAGGGAAGTTGAAGAATAAGCAAACCCAAATGGAGGAAAAATATATTTAAAATATATTTTAAAAATATTCTTCCCAAATATTTAGCCATATATTTGAAATGCTACAATTTTGGCCATATTCAATATATTTCAAAATATATTTCAATAACTATATATACCGTATATACTCGAGTATAAGCCGACCCGAATATAAGCCGAGGCACCTAATTTTACCACAAAAAACTGGGAAAAACTATTGACTCGAGTATAAGCCGAGGGTGGGAAATGAGGCACCTACTAGTCAATGTAAAAAATAAAGTGGGAGGAATAGTGCCCCATCATTAGTATCAGTGGGAGGAATAGTGCCCCATCATTGGTATCAGTGGGAGGAATAGTGCCCCATCATTAGTATCAGTGGGAGGAATAGTGCCCCATCATTGGTATCAGTGGGAGGAATAGTGCCCCATCATTAGTATCAGTGGGAGGAATAGTGCCCCATCATTGGTGTCAGTGGGAGGAATAGTGCCCCATCGTTGGTGTCAGTGGGAGGAATAGTGCCCCATCATTGGTGTCAGTGGGAGGAATAGTGCCCCATCGTTGGTGTCAGTGGGAGGAATAGTGCCCCATCATTGGTGTCAGTGGGAGGAATAGTGCCCCATCATTGGTGTCAGTGGGAGGAATAGTGCCCCATCATTGGTATCAGTGGGAGGAATAGTGCCCCATCATTGGTGTCAGTGGGAGGAATAGTGCCCCATCACTGGTGTCAGTGGGAGGAATAGTGCCCCATCGTTGGTGTCAGTGGGAGGAATAGTGCCCCATCGTTGGTGTCAGTGGGAGGAATAGTGCCCCATCATTAGTATCAGTGACACCAATGATGCGGCACTATTCCTCCCACTGACACCAATGACACTTGCTGACCCCTGTTGCAGTATGGTGCTGCTGCAGCCAGCATATGTGGTTGCAGCACCACCTCTGCACTGCACACTTACCGGCTTTTCCCTCACTCGATTTTCGCGGGTCAGCTCGGCTCCGCCTCCTCGCCCGTGATTGGCCGCCTGTGTACCTTTCCTGGGCTACAGTTCTGGCGGCCAATCACCGGTGAGGAGGCGGAGCCGAGCGGCAGGAGTGATGGAAGGAGCAGCGCTTCCTGGATGGATCATCGTGGGAGCCAGGTAAGAGACAGCAGCCCTCTGCCCACCCCTGTACGCGCCCCCCTTGACGGAGGGGGGGCGTGCCCCACTATTTGAGAAGCACTGGCTTTAGAAGCAGCGCCCCCTGCTAGACATCTGCAGACGTTGACTCGAGTATAAGCCGAGGGGGGCGTTTTTCAGCACAAAAAATGTGCTGAAAAACTCGGCTTATACTCGAGTATATACGGTATATAACAAATTTTGTACCATTGTCTGCAACAGAACAGTTCTCCTCTATACATTTCAAACTGAATTGCTTATATTCCCATATGGAAGAAAATTATATTTGAAATATATTTTAAAAATATTCTTCCTGAATATATTGCCATATACTTGAAATGCTACAATTTTGGCCGTATTCAATATATTTCAATAAATATATATATATATATATATATGTGTATACTGCATGTTGAAATGCGTTTTTATTACAAAATAATATGAAAACATTTTTTAAACATACATTTCAAGTATACATGCATGTCTTTAAAAATACAAATCTCCATTTTTGGAATGGATTTTCATATATATGTAAAAAATATATGTTAAAATGACTTTTTTCATGTTAAAACAAATCTGAAGAATATATTTAAAAAATATATATATTTAAAAATATATATTATTAAAATATATTAAAAAAGTAATTTAACATATATCTTTATATATATATATATATATATATATATATATATATATATTTGTAAATCCATTCCAAAAATGTAGAGTTGTATTTTTAAAGACATACAGTATATTTGAAATTTATTTTTTAAAATATTTTTCATATATTTTGTTATAAAAATGCATCTCAACATGCAGTATATACAGGGGTGGACTTTTGGAAACTCGGGCACTGCCCGAGGGCCCGGGGTCAGTAGGGGGCCCCATGAGATGCCCCTGGTACCTTTTTCATAGGCTTTTTTGAGTTTGGGCAAGGACACAGGGGCCCCATGATCCTCTATGGCCCGGGGACCCCATGAGTTGTCAGTTCGCCCCTGAGTATATATATATATATATATATATATATATATATTTTTTTTTTTTTTTTTTTAAATATATTGAATATGGCCAAAATTGTAGTATTTCAAATATATGCCAATATATTTGGGAAGAATATTTTTTAAAAAATATATTTCAAATGTAATTTTCTTCCATATAAGCACTTCAGTTTGAAATGTATAGAGGACTGTTCTGGTGGAAACAATGGCACAAAATTCATTAAGAAGCTTAAAATACAGAGGTGTGACTGTGCCCTTGGGGTTTGAAGTGAGGCCATTCTCAGGAAAATACAATGAATGGCGGATTAAAGGGTTACTGTTTGGTGGCTGACATGCACAGTAAACGAATGACACCGTAGTGTGAATGTTCTCTGTAACATAACATAGAACCAGGGCTGGATTTACATCTCTGGAGCCTATAGGCAGAGAATTCATAAAACGACCTTTTTTTTTTCCTGATAAAATATTTTCATATAAATATTTTTATATGTGTAAAGGTGAATGCTGCAGACTTTGATTTCAAAGGGGAACACTGTAGACTGTGTAAAGGGGAAACCCTGATGAAAAGGGGCTTCTAGTCACCAGAGCCCCCCTTACACAATAGTCCGCAGAGTTCCCCTTATATCAGAATTTCCCAGAGTTCTCCTTTACATCAGAATCTGCATTATTCCCCCTTGCAGTGCAAGTGGGACCACTGCGGATCCTGATATTTTCATAGGTTTTTTTGAGTTTGGACAAGGACATAGGGGCCCCATGATCTCCCATTGCCCGGGGGCCCCATGAGTTGTCAGTCCGCCCCTGATTCCTGCTTAACTAGGCCTCCAGCCGCAACATCACCGACTCGGAGACACCACTGCAGATACCCCCACCAGAACAACTGGAAGCCGTACCTCAGACGGGTTCCTACAAAGTGCCTTTTCTTGTGCCCACATTAACCAACGAGGACCTTGCACCCCATCGGACATCCCTCAACACCAATATGGCACAACCACCACCAAGCCAAACCATCAAACAACGGGCCGGCGGGAGGGAAGTTTGCCTTGTGAAAACTCTCTTCAGACTGAAAACGCCCTGCAAGACCCTGTAAGACCACCCCTCGTGGCTCCCCCCACTCCTTCCTTAACTATTTTTAACTCCCCCTTATGCTAATGAGACTCTGCCCATCCCAACCCACTTTAACCCGTCATGCCGGCCCTTCGTTCAGGTCTTCTTTCTTCTTACTCTGGGCCTTCCTTTCATAAAAAAAGTCTCACATACCCATAGTAGCATGGAAAAACAAATCGAAACATCTGATTGGCTGATTTCTTCACATTCATGCTGTGGGCAGCACAGTGGCTAAATGGTTAGCACTTCCGCCTGGCAGTACTAGCGTCGCTGGTTCAAAACCCAACCCTGGCACCACCTGCGTGGAGTTTGCATGTTCTCCCTGTGACTGCATGGGTTTCCTCCGGGTACTCCAGTTTCCTCCCACACTCCAAAGACATGCTGGTAGGTTAACTGGCTCCTGTCTAAATTTTCCCTAGTATGTGTATGTATGAATGTGAGTTAAGGACTTTAAATTGTACGCCCCTTGAGGGTTAGGGACCTTAGATTGTACACTCCTTGAGGGTTAGGGACCTTAGATTGTACGCCCCTTGAGGGTTAGGGACCTTAGATTGTACTCCCCTTGAGGGTTAGGGACCTTAGATTGTACTCCCCTTGAGGGTTAGGGACCTTAGATTGTACACCCCTTGAGGGTTAGGGACCTTAGATTGTACGCCCCTTGAGGGTTAGGGACCTTAAATTCTACACCCCTTGAGGGTTAGGGACCTTAGATTGTACACCCCTTGAGGGTTA